AGACAGCCTCTTCCCAATATGCGTTTTTGCAATTTACATATATGCAAAAACGCATAATAAACTGAGTTTCAGGAATGGCTTGCGCACTTTTTAGCCAAAAAAGCAGTGGAGACAAGTAGCGCGCGTTGCGAATCCCCAAAACGAGTAGCTCGTCGTCGTATATCTACATTACATCATTCAAAATATCGTTGTAAAGGTAGTGCATCAATACTTTTGTGGAGCTTTTTTATGTCTGCTTTTAAAAACTGCTTATTGGTCTCCTAATGTTGAAATTTGTGGGTGCACAAAAGAATTTTTGTAGGATCTGAAGCTTTTGTAACTGCAAACGCAGGTCGGTGTATAATTGACCACCCATGTCCGGCCGGCTGCTCCTGCTTCAATACGGTTGTTGATTGCAGGTATTTCTTTTGTAAATATTACGTCTTTTTCAAATATCCCCAGAAATATTTAAGTCACTTTTCTAATATTGTACATACGATCAATGTTGTACAGACTGTATGTTTTAGCAATCGGGGATGGACCGATTTTCCACGTGAATTGCCGCAGTTTACTACCGAACTGCGTATGTCCGGAAATAAAATCAGCATCATTCGCCGTTCAGCAAATCTTCGTCTCGGGAATCTCACTGTGCTGTATGTACTCAGCTTATTTTCATCGCCTATGTAATTTCTGACAGGTGGACGGATGAGACGAGTAGTGCACTGCGGAAAAGTGCCTGAGTAATGCACTGCTGTCATGAACAATTTCAGGATGCTAGATGGTAACGGTATCGAGTCTATTGAAAGCAACTCATTTGCTGGACTAAGGAATTTGCGTGAACTGTAAGGTTTTTCCCTTTGTTTGCCACTAGTATGAAGAAGTAGAATGGAAAGGAAGGACCATAGAAGCCCAGTTCCAAGGAGGATTGATGGGGAGGACGAAGTTGTGAAGTGGTTATGTGCGGCCGTAGGTAGGCCGAAGCATACCTTGTAATTAGCGACCGTGGAAACCGAAGGAAATTCAGCATGACTGAATTCCACATGTTTTAAGACTGGACGGATAGAAATTGATAGTAAATGGAGGCGGGGAAGATAGTTGGCAAGTTATTGTGGTACAAACATTTGACAAATAGAAAACTCATGTACCAAAAATATGTGGAGTGGTCCGTCGGTGTTCCATCCCTTAGCTGTAAACACAGACAGTGTAAGATGTTATTAGGGAGGTGGAAGTCATTAGCACAGCCCCTAACCACCATGTGAAATCGTAAATTATGTGGAATGAGACGTAGAAGGTAGAAGGAGGGGAAGAAAAAGAAAGAAAAAGAGGTAAGGGAAAAAAGACAAAGACTAACATACAAAACGTAGTTATCCGATTTCCTGCGTTTTGGAGCCGGTTCTCCTTGCAAAATCATTTTAGAATGCCATAAGAATCATCATAGTATCGGATTATCACAATCAAGTAACATCACGCAAGTGCTCCTAACGCTCCCTACAATATGACGCAGAGGAAACAGCAGCCCAGACTCGTAAACGTATTGCTGCGATGTACACAATTTGATGCTTAATGCAGCTAACTGAGGCAAAATTTGGGTAAAGCAACTTCACACGAGAACAAAACCCAGGCTGGAACGCACCAGGTGGGCCCGGAGCGATCATGGGTTTTTGCGCTTTTTCATGCTGTAGCCAGATCGCAAGGTATCTCAATGACTAGAATCTGTAGCTTACTGATGCTCAAAATTCGGGAAGTTAATTTTGCAGCTGTTTGGCGTGACAGATGTAAATGTCGGCTTCGGTGACTTGACAAATAGGAAGGTCTAAGAGGTTCTAAAAAGCCTAAGAATTTGAATTCATTTATCTCAGTTTCCTCCTAACCTGTATCCTTGTCCTCCTCGTCTATCTTGTTCCCAAAATCTCGCCTGTCAAACATCTAAACTCTTCCCCATGCTCACTACACATTTGCATGTACCTCAGAAAATAACAACGCACTTCCTCCTTTTTCCACCCATCAACTTACTCTCCCTCAAATTGTGCATGTCGTAGCCAGTTGACAAAGGAATCCAACGTAGGGAATCCCACGTATGAAAATCCACGTCTTACGTTGAAATTTGCTTGTTTCGGATAGTGTCACGTCACTCCGAGTGCTCTCCACGTATAGAGCGCCCACTGTTATGCTGAAATTTGCGTATTTGCCAAACAGCGTTCTATTTTTGTCTGTTTCATCATTTTCATTTGGTCTGCATTGTTTTAGTGGTTGTTTGTTTTAGCGGTTGCTACTTTTATTTGTTTCATCACTTTCATTCAGCTCGCATCGTTTTAGCGGTTGCTACTTTTGCGTATTTCTTCCCCCATTCCCCAGCGCGTACGAAGGCTGAATTTGATAGGTTTATGTTGTATTTATGCTAGGAGCATTCCTTGAAAATTTCAGCCTCCCAGCTCTGCTAGTTCTTGAGTTAGCCATTTTCCCGCCAATAAATTTTACTGGGCCATACGTGAGTACCACTCATACCTGGGGGCTGAATTTGATAACTTTAAGTTGTACCTGAGTTGGGAAAGTTCACTGAAGATTTCAGCTTCCCAACTTTGCTAGCTTTCGAGTTAGCCATTTTCCCGCCGAAAAATCTTACGGAGCCGCACGCGGGAACCGCGCATGCCTAAGGGATGAATTTGATAATTTTAAGTTGTACATGGGCTGAAAACATTCCCTGAAAATGTCAGCTTCCCAGCTTTCCTAATTCCTGAGTTAGCCATTTTCTCGCCGAAAAGTCTCACGGGGTCGTACGCGGAAACCACACGCGCCTGGAGACTGAATTTGACAAATTTAAGTCGCCCATGGGCTGGGGACATTCCTTGAAAATTTTAAACTTTCCAACTTCGCTATTTCCCGAGTTAGCCATTTTCCTGCCGAAAAATCTCACGGTGCCGTACGCGGGAACCACGCACACCTGGGGGCTGAATTTGAAATCTAGTTATATTTGGACGGGGAACACAACCTCAAAATTTCAGATTCCTATCTTTTCTCGTTCCCGAGTTATCAGTTTTCCCGCCAAAACTTTCCCCCTCTCGTACACGTGGCCCAGATGTGCGTGAGGGATGGTACCGCGGTTCTGGGGTGGTACTTAGTCGAGGTACCCATTAGCAAAATCTCGGCGCTGGAACTTGCTTGGTTGCCGAGTTGAAATACCCGGAC